ATGATAAAATCATATTCAAAGAGAGAGAGAGGTGACGTTTCCATGTTCCAGAAATGCCACTTCTCTCAATTTAATGAAAGTAATATATGTTTATTATTTTTCAAATTTAATAAATTATAATAAAATTATTTTTTAATGTGATGTATAATGGTGGCATTTCAAAAATTAAAAACACCACCTCTCTTATTTTAATTTATTACTTGAAACATTTTTTTTTTGTAATGAAGCAGACAGGTAGCATTTTCAAACTTCTAAAATGCCGCTTTTATGATTTTAGTTAACTAATTAAGAATATATAATTATTATTAATGATAATTAAATAATTATATTAAATTTATTATGCAATCTAATAAAAAATATAGTTAATTAAGGATAAATTAGATAGGTGGTGTTTTATTACTGTAATGCTACTAATAATGTTATTCAACTAGAAGCTGTAGCATTTCTTAAAAGAAATGCCACATATTATTATATGCTAAAATTATAAATAAAATGAGTAATTTAGAAGTGATGGTATTTGATAAAAGAAACGCCACCAAAGGTTTTTGGATTTAATATTAGTAGCATTTTATTTTTTATTGTTACAAAATGCATGCTACTAATTTTTATTTTTGTAGTAGTGATTACATACTCAATATAAGATAATTAATTATAATAAAAGATAATAAAATTTTAGAAATTTAAGAGAAGGACCAAGGTCGATTGAAATTTTAAAAAAGAAAAATAAGTGAATTTGCAAGAAAATTTCATTTCCAATCTTATTTGCACAACCCTACTTATTGAAAATCTAATCTATAAAGTTTATCAAGGAACCCTAATTCCCTAATTGCATATTAAAGGGAATAAAATGAAATGATTGTTTTTTGGGGCTGAAAGCTTCAATCATTCTTAATATAATATTAATTATTGAGCTAAGTCCATTTAAAAAAAAATAGTGAGATTCATGATACACTAATTTATATTGCATCGCTGCAATCTACCTCCTCTCGTAATATCATTTTTTGTCTTCCCATTTTCTTATTCTAAACCCTAAATCAGTGCCAAACATCAATATCAAGGTCGCATGAGTTTTTAGATCATCAAGGCCGCAACTTTATGCCTTATTAAAATCTTGTCTATAATTTATATATAATTATTGGTTTTTCTCATTAACCATCTCTCTCCATTGAATTAATTTAGCTTTTTATTATAATTACTATATTATGAAACTTTAATATATGATTTTCTAAAAAACTGACAAGTAGATTTTTTTTTTTAAATGGGCAATTATACATGCTAGATTTCGCTACCTTAAGTTTCAAAACTTATTTACATGACCCTGACATTTATGTATACAATTTGCACAAATTTATATAGTTAATCTTCTTGTAAGATATGTAACTATCATTTATATTATGATGATGATGATGATGATGATGATGATGATGATGTGAGATACATGTATTATAATGATATATCTCTTTTTTTGTTAAAGTATTGGTATGGTATGCCTTACATGATTTTTTTCTTTGATTACAATTAAATTATAAAATGTATACTTAAATGTATATCAACACTGTAATTGAATCCAAGACCTTTTTCAAATTTGAGAGGTGGCGCTGCTATTGGTTACAAGATTTTAATGTATTTTCTTAAAAAACAAAAGTGACGCAAATTTTCTTAAAAAGTGAAAAATGATGTTTGAGAACCTTTTAAGAACTTTAATTATAACTCAAGATCACTCATTTTAAAAATTTCAAAAAAGGGACCAAGTTCCTTGGTTGAACTAATATATATTTGGCTAGATTTCTTTAGCATTCATATTTCTTGTTCTTAGTACTCAAATTTAATATTTTCAAAACTAATATTTAGTCTTTTATTTTAAAAAATAATAATTTTTTAAATTTTTATTTCCTTGTGTTCATCATTTCTTTAATATTTACAAACAATCATCTTTGATTTTTTTGAAGTTCTAAAAATGTTCAAAAGGAATATTAAAAATATATAATGTAAGTATTAAAAACCATTGAAATAATTATTATTTGAATTCTAAAATAATTTAAAATGAATACTAAAATAATCAACTCAGAAAAAAAAATTATTTACAACCACGATCTTCTATATATCATTTGTTAAAATTTTTAAAATTTGTAATTTTTAATTGTAATTAATATTTTTAGAAATTTTTCTAATGTCATTTTCTTAAAAGAATTTTTTTACCAACATTTCTTAAAAGAATTAAAAAAACAGAAAGATAAAGAAATACTGCTGGCATTATGAGACCCCAGATTCTTTGTGTTGGATAATGAAGATATATATATATATATATATATTGGCCAATAAGAGATATTTATTTGGATGATGAGCTCTCTATCCGTAGAAATAGCAACTTTTGTTTCTATCACATTGGCTCATGTGAGAAATACGTAGGATGAGCTCTTGTCAGTCGTTAGTGGGCAACTTGAGTTATTTTATTTTATTTTATTTTCCTCAAAATCATGTTGAGCAATATAATATTATTTTGTTTAAAATACAAGCTGTAAATTAAAGTGAATTTCAACCGGGATTATATTGGCTTCAGATGAAGAGGGGGGATATTTTCATATGTATATTTAGTATTTAGTTTATATCTGACAAAAGTTCAAAAAGATCCAACTATTTATTGACTTTAGCAAAAATACATCCCATACATAGTTTGAATGTACTTTTAAGAATTATTTAAACAAGTCCTGTGGAGGAGTACATTATTTTAATATGTATTTATATATATATATATATATATATTTGAGTATTATACATAAGTAGCTTCTAACAGATAAATCGGGCATATAAGAGACAACAGATAGTCAGATACACATGTTTGTCTTTATATTAGCATAAAAAAAGAACTATATTTGAATAATGATCTCTTTATTATCTACTTAAATAATGAGTTTTGTATTTATCACATTGGCTTATTGTAAGAAATACATTACGTTTTGCGCTTAATTGTTACCATTTGCTGGACAACTTGAGTATTTTTATTATTTTTATTTTTATTTTTTTGGATATCTCCCTCAAGTCATGTGGAGGAATACATCATTTTTTTCATAAAAAAGCAAGTTGTATTATAGATTACGAAATAATTTAATGAATTTTACTTAAATAATCATGCAAAAGAACTCAAATTATTTGAATGCCCAATATTAGATATGCCGGATATAGAAAGGGAAAGCAAATAAATATAGAAATAAATAAAAAGGGAAAATCACATATAAAGATTGCTGAAACATATTATTCATAGACAAAGATTAATAAAGTTTGACTTCGCAATGCAAGACTTGATGACTTATATGAAAATAAGATTGAAGTTGAAATAACGAAAATAACTCTTATGAAAATAGCCACTTTTTTTTTTAAGAAAAACAAGTGCTGTGATATTATGAACAATTTACTATTAAAAAAAAAGTCCTTGTTATATTTTAACAATAATTAATTCCTTATTTAATAAGTGCAAAAAAATAATCCTTTTTTTTTTATAGAAACAAGTTTTTTGACATGGTGAATAAGTCACCCTCATGAAAAAGCAAATTCCCATTCTATTTTAAGAAACAATTCCTTTAGTTGTACTTCCTTTAAACTCATAAAGGTTATTTTCATCATTTCAACTTCAATCTTATTTTCATATAAGTCTTCATGGCCCGTAGTGCTAATCCTTGTTTGCAAATTACATGCTTCAGCAGTCTTTGTACACGATTTTCCCTAAAAAAAATTACAACTGTGTTAAAATCTTAAACAAAGTAAAAATGAACTAATATTATTGGATAAAGATCACAAAAATATGATAAATGTTAAGAAAGAAACAAGCAAATGAACTCCAATAAATTGTTGTTCAAATCATTTGGGTTTTGTGATTGAAGTGGTAAGTTCACCTAGCTTCCTTTAATTTAGTGATCAATGTTGGAACAACTAAATACTCAAGATTTTTCCATATACAAGCGCATTTTTAAATCCTCATCGCTTTAAAATCACCAAGATAAGGTGCTTGCTTTTGAGAAATGCACACATTAAAAATGTTAAGATTTGACTTTATATATATATATATATATATATATATATTTTAGATAGTATTTGAATGTTTAGGATACTTTTATGATTACATTCATGATCTAGTCGCATCTTTACCTATTGGACCAATTTTCGTTAACTTACAAGTTACCCTGACATGATACCAACACTTAAGATAAAGCAAAACATTAAAACAATGCTAAGATTTGGATTGTGTCCAGCTATCAAATCTTTTTGCTTGTCCATGACACATGACCACATGATTAAAATCTGAACCTTGAATGGTTTTAAAAGAGATAATTACTTCAACAATTTAATTGAGCGGGTCTCGGTTCATCATCCACTACTTTGCCACAACATGGTGCATGATTTTGGCTTTGCACTCAAATATTTCATTCATGAAGGCTTTTGGTTTAAAATGTATATCATGAAACTTGGTTAATTTGTGGGACACGCTTGGGATGGCCAAAAAATGGAGAGAATGATCTTTATTGAATTACAACTAGAACAAATGTAAGAAGAGACTTTGAATGATAAAACTCATCTCATGTGACACAATAACTATTTGATTTAATCGAATGATTGTCAAAAATCTTATCATATAATACCCAGAAAATATCATCTCAATTTTATTTTTTTTTGTTGAGGGAACAACATGAGTATGAAATGTTCTCATAATGAGGATTGCATTGAATTTTTAGAGAGAAATATATCTTGATAATTTTTAAGTATTGATAAAATCTAATGACTGTAATTGAGACAGACACTCATTGAGTGAATGTACTTAAATCACTCACTGAATCCAAATCTGTGGAATGTTGGATGGAATAGATGATTACAATATGTGCACTTCACAGGCATGCAAAAGAAGCCGCGTTGAGGATCCAGATGCCGTAACCTTATAGGAAATTATCACAGAAAGTCTCCTGGATCTAGAAATAAACTTCCAACATGCAAGCACGCCGAATCACAAGTTATATGAATCAAATATATTAATGAATCAAATGTATATCATTTCTACCCTGTTGATTGGACCTAATGATGAGTCAGATTCACAACATTGCTCATGCTTGCCATGGGTTCATTTAGTCTCATTTAAGGAGAAAGAAAAAAAATTAAATAATAGTCTTACAAGATTCTTATTGGACCATGAATGAAGCTAAATTCATACTTAATTCACCATCAAATCATTAAAACCTTCTAGAGCCTATAGCGGCGGCATGCGATTCACTTCGACATTGTGAAGCAATTGTTGCAGCAATCTCCTGGTTGTTGGATCTTCCTGCATTCATACATACAAGACCAGAAAATGAAAGCCAAAAACACTACTAAAGCGGAATGCTGTATCCAGTTCTGAAATAGATATTTTGGTCTTTATGCTTCCCTTGGTCGCATGATCACCATATCTATGACATTGCAACTCAATTCTAATGATAAAATCAATGGAAAATATAAGTTTTGGTCTCTATACTTTTAAGTGTGCTTTGGTATTAGTTCCTAAATTTTTTTCATCATTCCAAATCTTTTAAGTTTCATTTGTTTGATGCATTAGTCATTTACATAATTATGTTACTTCTATTGCTTAGTTTGTAAAATTATGATGTGTTGGACATTACATGAGCAAAATAACTACTAACCTTTCTGTATGTCTGCCCTAACTATCGTGTCTTCTTTCTTCTAAAACTTCATCCATTTGCTTATTTAAGAATTATGATTTAATGCCCTACTTGTTTTTCACCTTCTATTCATTTTTTATATAACTCATCATAATTTTAATAAGTCAATACAAGAAGTAATAGAGTTTATATACACATTAGCCACTATTAAGCCCTTATGGTTATATTTAAAAATAGAGAGACTAACATTGCAAACAGATAATACTTAATGGACTTAAAGCAATGAAAACAAGTGTAGGAACCAAAAGCAAAATATGCTAAAAGTATATTTTCCCAAAAATCTAATTATGAGTAACATGAATATAGCATGTACTTACACGGAGACAACTACTGAATGTAGCATCCCTTAGCATGTCCGGAAGGCAATTTCTTAATGCAGCACAAGCCCTAGTTGAAGAATACATAAACAGATTAACAATATTGTTAAGAAGTAGAGTTGCCCCAAGTTTGGTTAAGCATTTGTAGAATAAAAAGTATTTTTTTTCTTCCCCTTTGGACCCAAAAGTAACCCTTGCAGAAGACACAAAATTATGAATCCTTAAATCTGCATACTGAAAGAAATTTAAACATTTTGTAACAAAGATTACTGAGAGGGAATATAAATCAACCTTGGATTATCTGATAGACGAAGATAACAACAGATAATGTGTTTCAACAGACGAGATGAGGGTTGCTCAGCGAGAGATGCCACCATGTTCGCCAAAACTCGACCAACTGCAAAGAATCGCTCAGCTGCAGTACAAATATAATCCAGGCCCACATCGTCTGACAAAATTTTTTGAACTATAAATGTTGCAACCTGCCATAGTACAATTTTTCATTACACATTATTTACAATCGTCATTTTTTGAAGGAACTAAACAGCAAGAAAGTTTTCCACCAATCCCATGTCTATATCATAAAACTTGTTATAAGACCAATATCTCCATCAAGTATCATAAGAGGATTCACAATGTCAAACAACCCAAGGCTAAAGCCACTTTCTTAAAGGTCATGACATTCATTTTAATAAAAACCAGAAGTTCATAAGCAGATACAGTATAAGTGCATTGCCTAAGACTTGCTTGTCTAACACTGCACTGGAACAAAGGAAGATAGACTTCATGAATACTGTATAAGTGGGAAATAATTATATATATATATATATATATATAGAAATGCATAAATTAAAACCATAAGACTACCTGCATATAAAAGTACCATTTTTAAAAATTAATAATATGGCAACAAAAGGATGGAAAAAGAAAATGACAATGCACTTGCGACTAGGCGAAATACACTTGTAGACCGTAGTGGCATGAAATTACACAAGGCTAAAAGAAAGAATGAAAAAACTCAACTGTTTTTGACAATTCACTACCCATTTCCATGGTGCGAAGGCAGAGTGGAATTATTTCTGTTGAAAGAAGAAAACTGATAACTTCTGTATCATCAACCTGCTAAAGAAAGCAAAGATTATTAAAAACTGATAAACACACATGTTAAGTATTGACTCCATCAGTCCATCTTCACACTTACCAAATATGGAAGCATGTAATTTCAAACAATTTGCTAAAAAAAGTAACATAATAATGAGGAACTTTTATTTATCACTTTGATTGCACTGACGAGTTCATCAAAACAAGTTGCATTCAGTTATATATACAAACTTTCAAATCATTAAGAACTTTGAAGATTTGACACAAATTTACCAAATACAATAAAAGCATGTTTGGTTACACATTGAAACGAAACATGCACTAAGATTGTCTAGCAAAGTAACAAGGATGATTACCTTCACCAGGGCACCAATGACACCTAGACTAGTAAGCCTTAAGTATTCAAATGGTCTTGATTTGCTTGTTGTATTAAGAAAAGGATAAAGATATAGAGGTATATGGGCTGCAAAAGAGAGAAGATAAGTCTAAATAATAACTATGAATGACAATATTGTTTCTGTCCATACATTAAGTATATTCTATAAACAAGAACGAATCATATAAAGTAGTATAAAAGTCACGTCAAGGAAAAATAAAATACTAATATCTAATCTTAAAATGAAGAGAGCATACTCTCTTCCTGTTTAACCTTGGGAAGAAGGTAGTCAAACAGCCAGAAAAAAATGATCACCAGGAAAGAAAATCATACACAAATTTATGATGACATTTAAATTATGGGAGAAAGAAATTCTATCTTGAGCAATATAGGAAGTTAGGAGCTCCAATGGAGTCAAAGGCATGGGTATCTTAGGTGCCTTAAATTTTTTTCTAATCAAGAACTGATTTTATTAATGGAAACTAATTTTTGAATGGGAGAATTAGATTTCCAAGGCAGACATATATCAATTAAGCATCCAATACACCGAAGCAGTCAGCTGAAGGAAGTATAAAAAATTAGAGCTGTAGAAAGAAAACTTGTGAATCCGTTTTGGCAGATAATTAATTTTTAGCAAGATCAATTTAAAAGTAAGAATCTGAATTTAATAGCACACACTCATCCCTCTTCTCAAGATAATCCCGAGACCATAAACAGTTCATAACTTAGCTCATCTACTTACCTTCTAACCCTTCCTTTCTCATCTTAATCCGGTAATTTATACAAGAGAAAACTTGCCCGTTATGGTTTTAATCAGATACCATCAAACATAGCACAGTAAGTTGCCACTGTCTCCACAAAAATTATAAAGGAGGAACTCTTACGTCAAGCACATGCTACAGCTAATGATATCACAGGTAATCATGCTGAGAAGATAAGTAGAAAACACAATATCAAAATCCAGCACATCAAGAACAGAAGTGGAGTTACCATTGAGGAATAGCATCTTTGTATCTGGGTGAGATGCAACACACTGCCGAAAAGCATAAGAATCAGAAGTCATCATGACATCTCTTTTGTTATTTCATTTTTATAGTAGCATGTCTCAAATCAATAGAAGCAATAGATGATAGCTCCCAAACAAAGGAAAAAAATTAAGATAAAAACCATGACTAAAAAAACATATGGGAAAATTAATATATAGGTCCACGTAGATTGATTTAATTTTCAAGCACTGTCCCTGTGCTTCAAAAGTTTATAAGGCCCTCCTCATAGATTTCATTGGTCACATAGTTAGTCCTTGGACTTCTAGACATTTGTATCTCAATCCCAATGATGCTGATGTGTCTTAACAGTGCAAACAGATTTAGAAAAGTCAATAGGTTTTACATGAAAAACAAAAAGTTATATCATCTACCCCAATATTTTTGAATTATAAAACAGATGATTCATTGTGTGAAGAAGGAATGTTGGCTCCAGCTGCAAGCGCTCGCTGATGCTGCTGTGAGAAGATAGTGAGGAGGGCTGAAAGAAAACGAGGAAGAGGAAAGAGTTGACCATTATATTGGTTCCATGATTGTCCCTTCCTAGTATCGTAGGCATTATAACGGTTCTGCTTTGAGGACAGAGTGGAGCATTTATATCCCATCATTTCAACCAGTGTCTTGTGGGCTCCAGAACAAACCAAAAATTAGTTTGCAACAAAATCTCGTCTTGATTAAAAGATTCACATATGATAAATGTAGAATCCTAAATTGCCATTGATTATTTCAGTTCCATCTTTAGAAATGAAGTCTCATAAAACCAAGAACAGGATATCACAGAACTTAATGGAAAACGAAATTAGAGCCTCCAAAGACCACAAGCCTAAAAGTAGCTATTTGAAAAACAGACTATAGGAACTTGCAGAATAATTTTCCCTAAAATAATTATGGCTTCACCTATACCTTAAGCAAATGATTTCCACAGTTCCAAAATTTCAAGAACTTATCTACTTTGCAGAAGCAAAATGTTCAATAAAGTAACTGTGCAAAAAAGTAACAAAGTTGAAAATAAATAAATAAATACAGGCTATGCAGTTTGATGATATATAACATGATATAATAAAGCTTTCCACAACGTTATTATATGTCAAATATAATATACTGCATACAAGGAATTTATCACAACTGACAGCCTAGCTGTAAGGACCCAGTACAATGGCATCTTACCTGAAGAAGAGCAAGAGCATTGCACACTCGATTTGATTGTGCTGGAGTAAGGTTTGGGGGTGAAAGAACGGGGTATATTGAAACTATTTCCTGTAGGGGAAAAATGAATTGAAATCCCAAAGGAACAGGACAACTAATAAGCAGTCTAATAATTCAATATAACATGCAACAAAGCTTCAACCTTCGAGGAAATGAGAGTTGAATGTTGATGATATTATTATACATTAATAGAACATGAAAAAAATGGAAAAAATACAGTGCAAGCAGCAAAATAAACTATGATAATAGAACAACTAATGTTCATTAATTGTTGTCAACATTAACAGAGTCAAAAGGTACTATGACCGATTTTTCAATAAGAATGACTATGCCCAATTTTGTCAAAGATGAAAACGGAATTTGGGAAACAATATATCACATATTTGTGGTAGAACAAGACCATAGGCGAGAAATATACCATTCAAAGAAGAGAGTATCTTTATCAGCTAAACAAAAAGGAGCTAAACTGTAAAAATGTACAATAATCATAAACGAAGCATCTAGAAAAGGAATAGCATGCAAGTGGGATAAAATACCTGCAAAAGTGCAGCAATGGTACCAAATGAATTCCACAACAATGGGGCTACCGCCAGGTCTTGAAACAATTCCCTCTTCTAAACGTAAACAATAAGAAACAAAAATAAAGAGATACTAATACAGCTGAATTTATATCTCTACATAACAAAGATGTGATAATGAGCAATGAAATCAATCAGGAACCAAGTCAATCGACCATAAGAACTAGCATTCTCATAAATATGGAGAAGCATAAGGCTTCCATAAACTCCTCCATTACAATGGAATATGATTGAACATTTGAGTTACTATTGCCATCACATAACAGGATACAAGATGTTATTCCCAACTCAATGCAGGTATTTGCTTCAACTGAGATGACCACATCAATCTTCGAGAACCCATAAAAACAGACATTAAAACAAACACATAAAAATAAAAAGTTTCCACCCAAATTCTGCAAATCCCGATATCATAAACCATCACGAATTCACGAAAAAAACTCCCATATGTGTGTGGATGTTTATGGACTATCTACCTTAGAGAGCTCAAGAAGGGCATTCTCACGAAGATCAGGATTGCTCAGTTGCAGAATGAGATGCTCTACAGACGCCATCTTGTGATCCTTGTTGGCCTGAGAAGCGGCGGCGGCATTTTGGGCGGAGGAACCAGCAGCTGCAAATGGCGCATTGATCGAGAGGGATTGAGGCAAATTCGCCATTGTTGATAGATAGAAAGATGCAGCGAATGAATGAAGCGGTGGCTTCCCTTACTTCCGTCCTTGTATTTCGAAGTCTTTTATGTCTGACAGCTCCAAGAAGAATACATAGCTGCTGAGTTATAACCGTTGATCGGCTCGGGGACACGTGCTATGCATGCCGGAGAGCAGAAGAAGCAACTATTGTGTGCAAAAGCGCGCGCCAAAGAAGGAAAACTTGAAAAGCCTGCCGGTGAATTGGCCGTTTCTGAAATTTTACCGAGAAAATCCGACGTTTAAATCCTTCCCAGGTTGTTTTGTTTATTCCCTTCTCTGTACTTTGAATATTTCCAGGTACAATGAATATATTTCTTGGGATTTGATTACAGGTTATCGTGAGTATTAGCCATTAATATCGTATTAAATATAATTAATGATTTGGTGATGTTTATTGTTTAAAAATATATTACATTAATAATTTTTTGGACCCCCTCACCCCTTGTAAATTTGAAAATTAATCATCCATAATTGATTATTAGTAAGTTAAATATAAAAAAGTCTACCTAACTTGCTTTCATTTAACAAAATAAAAAATTTAATATGACTATTAGACCTGATAAGATGTGTACATATTTATAAACAAGTATATATTACTCCCTTCATTTAACAATATAAAAAAAATTTAACTAAATTATACTCTCAATAAATTTATTGATGCCTTCATTATAGTTGTTAAATTCTTAAGTTAACTCTACGAATTTAATGTTTTTATGTTTTTAATTTATAAAATCGTGTCAACTTACTCATAAACTTAAACTAGATACAAACTCGGTTAAATTCGTGAGTTTATCTTCGAATTTATTGTTTTTACATTTATAACTTACAAAATCGTGTTAACTAATTCATAAACTCGGATTAGATGTAAGCTTGGTTAAACTTGTTAAGCTTGTTAATTTTCTAAGTTGAGCCAATTAAGTATATACTATGAAAAATTTAGTTCATAAAAATTATAGGACTTAGTTCAAAAAAAAAAAACTTGAAATGCAAACATTAATATTAATAAAAAAGAAAACAAAAATACTAAAAAATAAGTTCCCTTATTTTAAAATTTTTATGTCTTATATATGATAATTTATTAATGTAAATGTGTTTAATTTCAATTATTTATATTTTTAATATATTTAAATTAAATTATAGTCATATTTTAATGGCTCTTTATTAATAGAGGTAAATTTTTATGAATTTACAATCTGAATTTGGAATACTGAGTTTATATTTTTATCACGAATTTATTTAAACTCACGAGTTTAACAATCTTGGTCTTTACACCAATGTTATTTTTTCATTTATGTTCTTATTTAATAAAGTGTCATGTTTAAAGGTAAAAGGTTAAGTGACATATTTGGTGAGAGTATTTTTGAAAAAAAAAATTAATTACATACCAAAAAAATGAAAATATCTTATATTTTTAAATATTAAATATTTTATATTTTTTAAGAGAGGGAGTGCATATATATGATCTTATTTATCGACTACTTTTAATTACTGTATACAAAAAATAATTAAATTTAGTTTATGTTTTAAAATTATCTCATTTTTTTTCTACCTTACCTTTGATTATCTGCATTAAATTCTAACTCATTCTTATTATTTCTCTCCTTCCTCCCCATAAAAAAATATATTAATTAATTTCTCTTTAAAGATGTACTTCTTTATTTTAAACCAAAAAACGTATTATTACTTTATAAATATCACAAAGTGATTTATAAATAACATCATGAAAATATTTTAAAAGATAACCCATAAATAATACTTGAGGGAATATATTCATGAAAGTTTTATTTGGAAATTTAATAAAATTTCACGAAAGCTCCTGGCGATTTTCAATTAACCCAATAGCCAGGTTTGTTCAATCTTGCTTCAAATTGAAAAGAAAAGGTTTCATAATTCAATTTAGCAAACTTCATAGAAAGTTTTGTTTTTTTTTTTTTAAACAGGAAAAGTGTAACAACCTTATTTTTAAAATGAAATAATATTATAATTAAATAATGTCATGAAGCAGTGAGATCCCGAAATCATTCATCAATTGGACCAAGGGCATATGAAGCCCAACAACAATCTCAAAAAATTAGTTTGACTAATGCCAATGATATTAAAAAGGGAGAATTTCTTATTAGAATCATGGATGTGACATAATTAAAAAAAGGACAAAATGAATGTAAGAATAATTTTGTAAATAATTTTGTAAATGCGTAATCAATTTTACAAGTTAATAATTTCCCATGTCATGTTAAATCCCTAGCCACTTTACTTGTAGCACGAAGTAACATTAATGGATTTTACAAGTTAATTTAATAATTTAACAAGTCAGTGTGGATTTAACACAAGTTAAATAATTAACAAGTAGCATAATAGACTTATCAAGTAATGTAAGGAAATTAACAAGTAATATAATATTTTTATCACGTATAAGTTAAGATAATGATTTAACAAGTTACTACCTTAATTGGGGTCTAATAAATTCACAAACAAAGTTACAGATAGTAATGTAAAATATTTAACAAGTCATGTTACTTCTCCAACAACTTGCAGTGTATTTTTCAAATTTATTTAGTCTGATTTTTAAATAAGTCATATCTATGGTCCTAATATAAAATTCTCCCTATGAATAAGGCTCAACGTAAATTCAAGAAACTATCCTGTTGATTCTTTCCAAAAATTCACATTCATAACAGAAATTAGAGTTCATATGTTAAGCACAAAAATAAGTTTTCAAAAGCCCAAAATGAAGTTTATAAGTTCCTATGTCATGGCAATTTACCAAACAATTGATACATATGTTAAACCAAAAGATAAATGAGCACATAAGCCCAAATCTCTAGCACTTTTTCTCATGCTCTATCTGAACTCTCACATGAAAATGGCAAAAAGTAACAAATGAGATCTAATATCTTAATAATAAATGAATAATTTAACCTATCCGACAAACCATCACAAACTCATTTTGCAAGCAATATATCAAGGTACTATCACAATTTGTTTTTCCATTGATTTCACAGTCATGGGAATGCATGTTTCACACAATACTGCAACAATTGCCTTTCAAATTGTGTCTTTTGAAGTGCTTATGAACAAAAGCGCTACAAAACGAGGAGGCGGAACCTAATGGAGCGGTTTTAACAAAAAGCATTCTATTAAGTTAAATCTTTTGAAGTGCTCTATTAAAGAGCTCTCAAAAAGGCAAGGATAAAATAAATTTTAAAAATTATCATACGAGTGCTCCTATAAGTTCAAATAAAAAATTGAAAATCCTTTAGGAATGGTCCTAAAGGAGACATAAAAAATGACAAAAAAAAAGGGACGAACAAAGCCTTTAGGAGCACTCTAAAAGTTGTACTCTTTAGGAGTGCTTAGAAAATGAGCACTCCTAAAGCACCGCTTCAAAGTCATTGTCGCACATCACAAAAGTTTGCTTGAAGCATGCCATTGATTCAATTTGCACTCACCTCTAGTTTTTTTTTTCAAATAAATAATGATGTGTGTATGTGAATAATTTAGACTTAATAATATATAGATAAGCTGCTTTCATTTTTTTTTTATGACTTTAATCTCATGTTAGTTGATCTTAAACTTGAAATTATTGTGTTTGGCATTTACAGATCAAATAACACATACTTGTACGCCTAGTCTAAAGTTTTTTTTTTTGTTGTATACAACTTCTAATGTTCAGTTGTATTGTTGCTGGATTGGTTTCATTTTGCTGGATTAGTTACTTGTAATGGCAAGAGAAAGTGTGAAAAGATTTAAAAAAAATTAAAAAAAATTAAAAATTACCATATAGGAGTGCTCCCATAGAAACCAAATATAGGAGCATTCATCTAAAAAGCACTCCCATAAGACATACATACAGGAGCGCTCAACTAAAAAGGCTCCCGTATGAATACATACAGGTGTGCTATTCGAGAAAGCACTCCCACATGGCACTCATTCAGGAGCACTCAAATAGAAAAGCACTCTTATAGGTATATTATTTTAAAAAAAATTAAAATTCTTTGGATCTTGCTTGAGCACTTTGACAAAAAGCACTTTTGTAGGCCACACCTATAAGAGCGTTTTTCAAAATGACACTCTAAAATCCTCACCTCAAAGCACTCCTATATATACAGAGTGATGGATATAGGAGTGCTCTAAAGGTGCTTCCAAAATTTTATGTTGTAGTAGTGACAATAATTAAAAGAGATTAATCATTTAAAACAATTAAACAAGTGATATAAGCCTCAACTCATTCTTTTGTCCCACCTTGTCCACCTTATTCTATTAGCTAGAGCTCAGGTTGAGGATACATTTGGCCAAAAAAATATATTGCCTACAAAGCTACACTCCTCCCTCGAAAGAAATTGCCCTTTGTCTCACAACCCTAGCCCAAGAAAAGGAGCCCAACACAGAAGCACATGCCTTAAGTAAGAAGACGATTAATACGGCTCTTCTTCGTTTTTTTTTTTTAAGACGATTAATACGGCTCTTCTTCGTTTTTTTTTTTTTGGATGAACATTCATATGGCTCTTTTCACTGTTCATGAATATCAGCTTTTAGAGGATTTCATGAATGCTTAGAGGGAACTGCCACACCATCCTAGAAATTCTATAAATATAACCATGTTTTGATTTTATACAAACAGTATATATGTGTGTGTATATAAATAGGATTATATAAATAAATATGTAAAGTATAATGTAAGATAAATAATAGTAATAATAATAATAAAATATTTATTTTAATACAGTGACAGATCTAGAAAAATTTAGTAATGGGGGCAATATTTATACCAAATATAAATATTAATATTTTTTAAAAAATATATTTTTAAGTAATAATTAAAGTAATATATAAATAAATTAAATGAAAATTTTAAAAATATATCTTAATTTCATTTACATCATAAATATATTTTTATTATAAATAAAAGGGCAAAAAATATTTTTAAATATGTATATTTGATAGTTTTAAAGAGAATGTGGGGCAATTGCAATTTTAAAAAGGGAACAAGTGTAATTTAAACAAAAAAATGAATGTAATTTTTGTAAATTTTATGGGAACAATTGCCCCCTCTTTTTCCAACATGGATACGTCCTGTTTTAATACCTAGATGAATAATGAATTTATGATGCCTTTAGGAATTTTAAGATTCACGTATTCACTTGAATTTTTGCAGAACATTGACTTAGATGTGAAGCATTTATTTTCTATTTAATGTTGTTCTTTTAATTTTGTGATTTTGGGTTCTTTTTGCAATTTGCCCATTTCTTTAGTGTATATGTGTAAAAAGGAAAAAAACACACACTACATCACGTGAGAAGAAAGAAGAAGGAAGGGAGGAATTGATGTGATGTAAATAAAATAATTTTTTTTAAAAAAAAAGCATTGTAACGGATGGTAATTAACGTAGTATGCAAATAGTGACTGATGATCTGGTAACACTCCAGCCATCCATTCCTTCTCGTTCACCCATCCACATTACCTTTGTAAATGGCACCCCAACACTCCACCGTGACGTGGAGGGAAAGAAAAACAAGAATGTGAGAGAGAGAGAGAGAGAGACTTGGGGAAGGTAAAGTGAGGGGAAAAAAATGACAAAAAAACTTAAATACACCATCATTTATAATTTATTTAATTAAATTTTTTTAAATAATTTAAATAAAATTTTGTGTAATATTTTTTAATTAATTTTATTTTTATAACAGAATGTTAATTTAATTTTTTATTTTTTCTCTCTACTATCATTAATATTAAAATTAATTTATATTTAATACACTCTAAATGTTATGTTTTTATTAGATAGACTATAAATGATATGGTGTATTAAATCTATTTAAGAATTTTTTTAAAAAAAAATGAGGGGACTACAGTAAGATTTTTTTAAAAAATCATTTGCATATCTTTTAATAGTATCTGGATATTATGCTTATTTTCAAGATATTATTATAGAGCAGCCTCTATTAAAATTTTTTTTTACATATCTGTTATTAATTATTCTAAGACTCACGTATATATTATATTTACATAATCACATGCCCTTAGACTAAAATAAAATGTAGCTTTTCGTATACGAAAGTGGTAAAAGAAGCATGAAAGAAATGGATAAATTACACACATAATCTCACTCCCATGTTAGGAGTTTTAATAGTAATTTATACTTTCTATATTATATTTATATGCATAGTTTGTTTTATATTTTTTCTATAATTGTTAGGAATAATTATTTATTTATTTTAGGATAAATTGACCCACTGGCCAAGAAAATCTTATATCTATAAAATATAAACCAAATTTTTAAAATTTTAGAAGTATGATCGATTTATATTAATATATAAAAAATTTATCATTGATATATATGGAGTTTATCATTAAAAATTTAAAAATTTATAAAGAATTCATCATTGATATACAACGATATATCATTAACAAATATAATAAATTAATCATAATAAAAATATAATAAATATTAGACTATTTACTTAGTTTAATCCTAGAACATATGCAAAATCTCCAAGTAGTTATTCATTTAGATTAATAATTCATATTTATTTCTTTCTATAAGTGTTTGTTTGTTTTTGGCTGATAATAAGTGTTTGTTATATATGCATATATACATTGTTATTTAATGTTTTAGTTTTAATTATAGTTTTTTATTTACTCATTTAGTTTGATAATTTATATTTATTCTTTTCTATAATTGTTAGTTATTTATATGTTATATTTCAATTTTAGTAATGATTGTTTATTTATTGTTTCATATATCATACATTGACTGCTTAAATTTATTTATATAAGTTATTTTCTTAGATAAATAATTGTTATTTATTTTCTTATATAATTGTAAGCCCACACACATTGTTATTTTTATTTCTATTAGTTATTCCCTGAGATAAATAATTTGCATTTATTTTCTTCTAGGGGTTAAGGGGCAAAATTGCCTAAGAAGTTTTCTGAAAGGAGCATCGAGAACTTTTACATTTTAGAAGGAGCAACGTTACCCCATAAGTGTTAAAAATAATGTAATTTTATCCTATTATTAAGGTTGACTGTTTGTTGACCATTAATTCCTTTTTATTTGACACATGGCATACACTTACCAGTTAAAAAAAAAAAGAAAAAAAAATTGATACAAAAAATAATGGCTTTCTCTCTCTACTTCTAGTTCTTCAAGCACCTTCAAGAGGTGAATGGCTTCTGCAATCTTTAAGCATCTTAAAGCACCTTCTTCACATCCCTACTCGCCTCCCTCCTATTGTTGATTTTGGTTACACACACCATTGTCAAAGTCTTCTCGCACAATACTGTTGAACTAGGTTCTTCTTAAATCTATTGAGTCGTTGAACTACATTTCTTACCTTACTGAAACAATGTTTGATCCTTCTTCTTCATACCTACTGTTATTGGTGGCTGTGATAGTTGAAGCGTTGAGGAGGTTGAGATCTTACTGAAATGATGTTTGTGCAGAGATTGATTTTCTTCTTCATACCCATCATTTTTCTATTGGTTGAAAGTAGATCCAAGGGCTTTAAATTTAACATCTTTGAGATATGTCCAAGGTTTGACAAATCCATTGAAATGGGTTTCACTTTATTTTGATTCTTTTTTTTTTTTTTTTTTTGAGATCTTGAAATGATTGAATCTAAGGTTTAGTTTTTTCTTTGATTTTTCTCACACTCCATTGTTGAATATCCTGCTCTAGTTTCCTCTTATTTTTCCTTTGATTTTTGCTTATCCACTTCATAATGTCTTCTTCTTGGATGATTAAAACTTTGGTGTTGAAAATTTTCTTTTCTTTTACCAAAGCTTTGAATATCTTCTAACTTGACTAAAGCAGTGAATGGCACATGGTTTGATTTGTTTTCTTCAATTAAATCTCTAAAACGTTTGCCAGATGAGGTTGAGTATGGGTTGTTGGTGTGTCTAAGATTTGAGGTGGAGGAAAATCTGGACAAAGCTTACGTGTTTTGCTAGGTGTGTATCATCAAACTAGTGTTCTCCCCGTGCGATGCACGGGGAAGCTTCATTCTTGGAAGGTTTTCTATTTTTAGGTTATATAATGACCAGTTACAAATGTTTGGTGAGGTGGGGGAGTTATGTGGATGGAATAATTGTTTGCAATGTGACGTAAAAAAGTACGGTAAATGGAATCGTAGTAGAATTACAGGTAAAAGGATGATAAGTTATTGAAATTATTTTTAACAGTAAGGAATGTTTAAGGTTTGATAGTATAATGAGATGGAAGTGTCATATGTCAAGATCTATTTATTTATTTCTTTGTGCGTGTGTGTGGGGTGTTTTTTTTTTTTTTTTTGGTAATGAATCACGTTAGCAATCATTAGGCAAAATTTTTTGTATATGTTAGGGAGCTTAGTTGAATGGGTTTGGTAATGTGATAACATCGAGCCAAGGTTGGTGTCCAAAAGATGGGCTAAGGAAAGGGTGGGCTTGTACTGGAGTGCAGTAAAATGGGTCCATGTGAAGACAAGGATTGTATTGGGCCTATTTAGTATGTTGTGACGGACGGGCTGGAACTCGTGAAACTGGATAGACATGGTGAAACGATATGGCAAGGGTCCAGGAGGATGGTGATTTTAGAGGACGTTAAACATTAGCAAGTTATTTATCGCCTTTGTGGAGTCATAAGTCCAAGTGTAAGTATAAATAGGAGGTGAATTTTGAATAAAAGTACTATTGTGGAAATATGTTAAAGGAAGCAATCTTTTAAGGGATCTGTAGATGGCTACAAGAAAGCGATTTGTGGCCCGAACTGTTGGACGTCAATGGGACGTTGTTGGTTTGCCTCTATTGGCACTTCCAAATGACGTGATTATTGTGATTCTAGAGAAAGTGGCTTCGCAATCGCTTTGGTCACTGAGACAACTGAGACGTACATGTAGAGAGCTAAGAGTGTTGGCCGTTCATGAAGCTATATATCCTGTTGCCGCCACAGATCAAATTCCCTTGATGCTGGAAGACCAAAATCATCATGCAAGACTGTTTATCAAACGTTGTTTTGATGCAGGAAACTTGGAGACGATTTTCTACATTGGGATCGTAAACTTCTTTTGGAGAGGAAAGGATGCCTTTTTTGGATGGACAAACTTGGTCAGGGTTGCGAGAAGCGGTCTTAGAAAGGCAATGTATGTTTGTGTGATGTTAAGCTTTATCAATGGGAGAATGCATCGAGCTGGAGTGGAACCAGAAATGATACGGTTTTGGCAAACATTAAGGGAAGAGAAAGAAATACAAGTATGTAGGTTACAAGTTCAAGGGATTATTATGTTCCTCTCCATTGGTCTTAGGCATGGGGTCGTTCAGAAATCACTTGCATCTGTATGTTCAAAGCCAGACTGTGACTGGAGCAGCATGTACTACCCAGGGGATGTCGTCACTATAATGGATGAGGCGCCATGGAACGACGGGACGATTTGTGAGGAATGTAGACTGGACATTGAAATGCAATGGGTTTGTGAAACCATTGGGTTTTGGCCTACGTGGACTTAAGTGATGTAGTAGAGATATGATATTATTTTTATCAAAACGGGGTAGCATGATATGGCGTTACATAGGTCGTTGTAGGTCTTGGTATTTTCTATGGTTGTGTTTGTTTTATCACTTAGATTTGGGTGTGGTTTGGAAAGTGTTTTACGTGTGTTTTGTTGCTATTATTGTTTTTTTTCCCGTCTTGGTCGTGTTTGCCTCAAATGTGAGGTTATCCATGTAGGAGTTGTTATTCTAGCTGAGTAGAGCTGAATATGTATTTTGGATTATGTGTTATATGTTGTTCTCGAATGTGTGTTGGTGTCCGATACTCGCTATAAGTACGTAAAGGTTTTGTGTAAGTTGTTAGTAATGTATGTTGATTCTTATCCCAGTGGATCAAAATATTGGTGTAATATTGTGTGTACTTTTATACTAAGTGATATGGGGATACATGAGGATAGAAGATTAAGGGAAAAAGGTCATGAAGGTAATACTGGATGATGAAACGATTGTTTATAAATGTAGCGTTGGTTTACGGTGTTCGGGTAATATCAATAGATGAAATTGTGGTCCTGATAATGTTTATCATTATTCAGTTCACGTGGCAAGAATAACAATAAGAGTAAGAAATAGATTGCAAGTTTTGGTTTTATTATGTTTTTGTTAAAAGAAAAATATAAATGAGTTTATTTAGTCGAGTGGTACCAAGATTATTCAAGTTGTGGGAAGAAAATTGGATGCGTTTGTAGTCTTAACGAAGGTTAAAAAATTACAACTTTGAAACCGAGAGGAAAACGGGTGTTGTAATTGTGATCTTCAAAGAACAGATGATGATAAGCATTGGAACATGAAGATGTGTTGTGAGGAGATCTATGCTAAGTATGATGATCACATGGTAGACGGGATGAAGGCAGTCATGTCGTTTTTCCGGTTCTTGTTTTGCTTTCATAAGGAGACTGAAGATTCATGCAAAATTGAATTATGTATCAAATATGGACATGTCTTTTGAGGGAAGCTAGGGCTGGGGTGAACTTGGAGAGCTTCTCCGGGGTGAGTGGCAGTATCGCAGAAGTGATCAAAGTTCTGCCAAAGAACAGATGCTAGATGAGATTGAAAACTGTGCAAATTTGATAGTGTTCTCAGCTAGATGGGGCGTTATGTAATCTTGTAAAGTAAGATTGGGCGGAGTTAAGTGGTTTCTTGTTTCTTGTAGCGTGACATTAAAGCAATCAAATAGCCTCAAAAAAAGAATGGCAAATTGAGGTAAAATCGAAGAAAAAACTTGGGGCGGAAGGGTTTACAGCCATGTGTCGTAAGGGGAAATGATGCTCGAGAAACAATAAAAAGTTCCAAGAGGTAAAAAGGACAAAAAGAAAGATAACGTGCATTAATTGCACTTGATGTGACAAATTTTATTACAGAAAAAGATTACGGGTTAGACGCAATAGGATCACCTAATGATGTAATAGACAGTAAGAGAATAAATTGTCATGGGTGACTGTGATCCTCAAGGCGGTGAAAGATCAAGGGGATTGTGGTAAAATACATGTAAAATGGAAAAAAGATGTAAGTCCATTGAGGTGATCATTTTTTAGGAATATTTGAAGACGAAATGTTGAGGAAAATCGGGTTAGTAGATTTGACGTATACTAATGAAGCAAGTAGTAGGGGTCTAGGGGATAAAGTGGCCTAAACACGAGATCTATAGACTTGATAGTTTTCAGCTTTGTTTATGGAGTAGTAGACTCTGGATCGCTTGTTCCAAGATGATGATCAATCCTGTGAGAAAGTGTAGTACACACAAGGTTGGCTATACAGCTAATTGGCAAAACGTGGTGGAAAGAAATATGTAAGCCATTAAATGCTTACCATAATGGAAGTTCTGTAGAGTTTGACTTGTTGGAGGCACACAAAAAAGGAGTAATAAGAAGCAAATAAAGAAAAAGAAAAAAAGGACCAAAAACTAAAGGATAAAAGGGGGGGAAGAAGTTAACGTTAAAAGGGATAAGCACATAATAAGTTCTCATGTGGGCGTTCTATGTGAAATTATTAGTAGTCAAGTAATGGAAAGAGATTAGTTAGATATTGTTTTTATGGGCACACATGTTCTGAGGAATTTATGTAACATATCAAAATATTAAAGTAGGCGTTGATAGTATGGGTAAAAGTTTATTGTTGAGTATATTTATTATGTATGTATATATCAGTATTGTTTAGCTACAGTAATTTTTTTATGTTGATTTCATGAAAAGTTTCCATGCTTGATAGGTTTTAGTGGTGAATATATAAAGTAGATAAATGTTATGATAAAAGCTCATCATAACAATTGTCAAAATGGAATAGAATGTAAATAATGTAAATAAAATAAGTATCAACATGCCGGGTAGGGGAAAAAATGACAAGCGATTTTAACATGTCTTATGGCTTATTTTGTACTATGTGTTATTGCAAAAATGGGATTATCTGGAGTTGAAGGTTATGAAATACGTTAATTCATTATGGAATATATAATATAGTAAAATATAGCTTGAGTGTGTTTCATTGGATTTTATATGGTTAATGATGTTTTTTTTTATCAGTATGAAGTAGGAATAAATATAATAGATAAACTATATAAAGAAAATGGAGACGTTTCGATATTCGAAAATAAGTAAATTTTTCGTCTTGAATTTCATACATTGCATTTTTTAATTGTTTTATATTACTTTACTTTAAAAAATAAATGTATCTATCAGAGGGATGTGACTCACAAGGACACGTATTTAGAGGATTCTTTGCTCAAACTTTAAAAACTTAAGATACGATAATTCAAATAAAACTACACTGAGAATTTTAAAAAAAAAAAAACAAAAAAAAGTAGAAAATGAAAAACAAAAATACAAAAGAGACAAGATAGGGGAAAAACATTAGGTAAAAAAAAAAGAGAGAGAGAGAGAGAGAGCAAAGTTAAAGAGCAAAACGAAACATGCTAAACATGTTTCAACATTAAAAACCAAATTCAAACAGAAAACCAGACCACTCACTTGCTTGCTCCTCAACAGGTACCACTGACAAAGCCTCACTTGAATCATGGCCTTCACACCCACATACTCCACTACATAACAACAACAACCCAAATGAAGACACATAAGAGACCATGAAAGAAGTACTCTAGTCACATGAAAGGGACCAAATAATAATAATAATAAAAAAAAAAGAAAAGAAAACAAACCAAAAATGAAAATCGCATATGAATATACACCAGGCATAAACCCAACTCTAAGAGAATCATGAATCCTAAACATGTAACGAAACAATAATCACCCACCGTTCAATTCATCTTCAATTACGTTCAATTCCTCGGACCCCACGCCAGAGAAGAAATCACAGCGGCTCTGAAGACGGAATCTCTTCCTCGCTGAAACCAAGGCTTCAACATTGGCACTATCGTTGTACACCGAACCATCTCCCACATTTGATCCACCTACACGAAACAAGCTGAATCACAAGAAAGAACAATGCAATGCTCATCCCAAACCCAACAACCAAATGCCGCGACATCCATTACCCATAACAGAAGAACAACACCCCACACAATCGCCACACGATCAGCCTAAGCAAACCAGAACATGAAAGGGGAAACACACATGGACTACACCTTGAGCTAGGACACAAAGAAAGGAAACACGCGGCAGAGATCGGGGCAAAAAAACCACAAAGGAAAACAATAAATCAAACTGGGAATACACCAACAACAACTACAGTGGTCGCCGAAACTGACATCACGAATCACCAAATACCCACTGCAGGCAGCCCAAAAAAGGATGACAGCCAACGAAGCACAATATTCATCTCATGGTGCCGATAACCCCGAAAGCGGCAACCGACAGACCACGATCATTCAAATCTTTCCCTAGGCAAACCCACGTGCAAAGACACCGCCCACAAATCCAATTTTTCATGTTTTAAAAGACTATATCGATAAAGCAAATAATGATTTAAATTTAAATAAATCAAAACAAAAGGCAGCGAGAAATTTCTAGTAAGCCCGCCAAAGGCAACACGCGCGAAGCACTGTTTAAGTACCATTCACGGGGACATCCGAAATTGATAAGGATTATTGATGATTTTTCAATCTTTTCGTTAGTTAAAAGTTGGTCAAAAGTTAGAAAAAAACAATATTATTTTACTTTTAATACTTTCAAAATAACATTGCTCCTTTTAAAAAATAAGAGTACCTAATGCTCATTTAAAAAAACTTTTAAAATATTTTTGCCTCTTAACCCTCTTGTTAGTTATGTGTGTGTACATTGTTAGCAATAGTTGCTTACACTATGCATTGTTTTCTTAAATTTATTTATATTAGTTTCTCATTTAGACTAATGATTAATATTTATTTCCTTTTATAATTATTAATTGTATATATTCATTGATTAGTTTTAGTAATAATTGTTTAATTACTGTGTCAATATTTATTTTTAGTATTATTATTATGATGATTAAAATGGTGATACACACATAATTTTCCAAGGAAATTCCTTTTATATAAGAAGATTTGGGATAACCTAATGGAATTTTTAACTAGGAAGAAAATCTGAGTAAAAGAAACTATGTTTGTGGATTCTCCCTAAGGGATGTCCTAGTGTAGTTTCTTATGAATTTTTTTTTTTCATACCAAACTAAACCATCTTAGTAAGAGAAGTTACATTTATGATATCAGAGTCAAGTTCTAATTCTAAAGGCACTATTATTTCCATCTAGTCAAGTATTATAGGGTAGTACAAATATGAATACTTATATCTTATATATATATATATATATATATATATGACTCTTGCATTAGTATAATAGTTAGTATTGAGACCGATTACTTTAATACTCACTACTCTATTATGTAAAAAGAAATGGCTTTAGGTAGGAGAAGTAATTGTAATAATGTTAACAACCATATAGAAAATGATTTAGTTTATGCTATTGAAAGAGATGACTGCGAAAATGAAAGCACAAGTAGATTTAACAGCTACTATTATTAAGGAACACGTTGCTATCACTATTCAACTAGTACAAATGTTTCAAGAAACTCAAGATGACAACGTAAATTCCACTAATGGGAATCAATCGCCTACTATAGAATTCCAAAATTTTGTCAACCCAAAGATGATTCCACATTTTTCAAGCCTCATCGAATTTAGAAAGGTCAAACTTCCATCCTTTCAAGGAGAATACAAGCCAACTATGGCATATGAATGGCTAGAATAGCTAGAAATTTTTCTTGAAGTTATGCAATGTACAGATAATCAAAAAGTTTGTTTTGCCACATATATGTTGGTAGAAAATGCTTATAACTAGTGGAAAAAGATAAGACGAGCTATAGAAGCTTATTGAATTGTGATAATTAACCTGAGAAGTGTTCAAATTTGATTTTCTGGATAAATATTTTCTAGAAAATATCAAACATGATAAGGAGATAGAGTTCTTAAGATTGGTATAAGAAATTATGACTATAGATCAATATGTCACAAAGTTTGAAAAATTATCAAAGTACTCCTCCTATCTCATTAATAATCTTCATGAGTCTTGGAAGGCAAGAAAGTTTCAAGTTAGTCTACGATTGGATATGTAATGACCCTATTTTTTAAATTTAAAAAAAAAATCCCAAGAAATATTTCATATAAATAAGAAAATTTGTTAGCAAATTTGATTTTATTTCAAATCTTAAAAGAATTTGGGTCCTTCTTGTAATTTTTCCTGACTCCTTCTTATAATTTTCTTCGGGCTTTTCTTGCTAGTTTTTCCAAACTTTCTTTCATCAGATTATATCTTCCAGAGCAAGCCAGAAAACAGGGCATTCGCAAAGCCTCTTGTTCACCGACCTTGGATTACTCCCTTCTCGTTACTATGGAACCCTTCCCCCTCACCTTTGGCTTGTTCTTCTCCTCACCATCAGCGTGCTTCTTGCTTCACTGGTTCGTTTTTGCTGTTCGTCCGTTTGCTGTGTGGTAGTGAGCTAAATTTCTGCTCTGATTTTCGCTGTTCTGTGGCTGAAAGTGCTGCTCGGAGATGTTCTCTTCCTCTTCTTCAGTTCCGGTCACGTGCTGACTCAAGGGAGCTACTGCAGTTTCGTTGAAGGTGAGTTGCTGTTCTTTATTTCTTTTCTGCTCAGTGGCCGACTGTGGCGGTGCGTGCGTTCAGTTCCTACATGCTTTTCCTCCTAAATTGTTGGCATCGTGTGTTTGCTTGATCTTCATCTTCACTCTTCCTTCTTATTCAGCTAGTGGGTGCCGTGTGAGTGTATATGATAAATTCAATTTCCTCTTCTTTGTTTTTGGTCGAAACTTCTGCCTGTGCTTTTCTTGTTGCTGCCGTGACTTGCTTGAGAATTAAGGGGCTGAATTGGTTAATGCTGTGGAATTTTATTGTGATGCTAAGCTTAATGTTGATGATAAACTTTATGTGGAAAGTGAATTAAATGGTTAGATGATTATTGCTAGTTAAAGTTGGATGTCCTCAATATGTTTGTAAAAATGCGAAGAATTTAGAAGCTATTTTGTAAAACATTGGATGTTATTCTGTTGAGCTAAAGATTTATGAAGAAATTAAATGGTAGAAATTTGTATTTGTTTGGATGTTTGCCTCATGATTTTGTTAATAGTAAATGTTCTCATGATGTTTGTAAGTATGCTTGAAAATTTTGTTGATGAAAATGAGATTGTTAAATTTTATAGTAAAGTTTAGATGAATTATGAATATTATTGGAAGGAGTATATGTATGTTTTGGAATTTTAAAAATATCAAATAAAAGAAAGGAATGCCTAGATTGTTATAGTATGTTATTAAATCTAAAGGATGTAAGAGAATGGTTGATATGAGTTATTATGACTTATGGTTGATAATAGGTTACGAGGAGATATGAGAATGAATTGAGAATTATTAAAGATTTAACTAACTCAAGTATCTATGGGACAGAATTAGTTAGAGTATTATCTTTAATATTATTGGGTTGAATTTAAATGCCCATGAAGTACTTGAAAAATTAATTGTAAAGTTAGGACATCATTAGAATAAATGTGTAAAGTAAGAAAAGTAAATTTTAGAACTTTTAAAAAACTTTCAGGTGAGTGGGTAGCGTTTTGAATGAATTTTTAATAATTGTTTATAAAATTCCTTTACTTAAATTTTAATACTATCTCTTTATTAGTTATTTAAACATTCTTGTTAATTCTATTTTTTTAATAATTATTTTATTAGTGATGATATCTTGATTTTACTAATGATTTATGCTATTGATAAGTAATAATAAGAGTTGATATACGACAAATGGTGTTACTTAAAAAAAAGAAAAGCTCAATTGTTTAATTTTATGTTTGATATGCAAACTTTTAGTATAGTGTAACTCGTGCATGGAGGAAATGACAATGAATATGGGAATGGAAAATGACAACCAAATCGTATATTTTGAAAGTCTAAATTTTGAAGTTGTTTTCCAACTTTATGCACACTTGATTTTAATTACGGGGATTGAGTTCAGAACGCTAGATACTAACGGTAGTTTCGTTAGTCTTTGGCGTGCCATGGTACACCTAGCTAGCAAGTTGCTTGTTAGAGGTGCTAGACTCGTGTGAAGGTCGACGCATGTGGATTGAAGGGATGATAATTCGTGAGTATTGTACTCACGCTTGTTTTCGTGGGCTTCGTGCTTGCACTTGATTGATGGCTCCTGCCATACTTCTTTCGTGGCTTTCAGCTGCGTTTGATTGGTTATTTATCATTGTGTACTGTATGTTCGCGCTTGTTATTTGTTTTGATAAAGCCCTCCTAAGTTTAAGTTAAAAAATTTATCATTTCTCTAATAGTTCTCTGAAAGTACTTTATCGAACTACACTATATTTGTGGTTAGGATAAACTTTTAACATATATGTGATCTTATTAGCATTGTTTAATTTCAAGATCATATTATTGAGAAAAATCTTTATTTATTTCTAGCTAAAGGATGTAATTCATTATTGCATTAAGTCATTTAAAGCTAAATTTATTATTTACTATTGTCATATTTTATTATTTATAATTTTGATTAGAACACTATTCACCGGTAAATTATTTGGTCCCTGATATTATAGCTGACCCTACACCTTTAGCAGATCATTGAGGGCTTTTTTGATTTTTCTTTTGTAAAAAGAGGAGGCATATTGCGATTATTGTTTTGGTAAACTATTTATTGTATTTTGTAATTATAATTTAGTGTTCCACGTACAACGTAGTTAGGTTCTAGTCTTATTGTGTAAAATTGCTAGAATGGAGTTAATCTCCTTACTAGTCTGGTTGGTCGGTTCTATTGTTATTGTGAAAATTTTGGGAGGTTTAAGTTATGGGCTAGATTTTGCTAAAATTTCTACAAAATACTTAAGATTTTATGAACTTATTATATATAACTTACATATATCAATATTTTAGCTTAATTTCTGGTTATTAAGGTTGATGGAATATGAGTTCTCCTCATATTTCATGCCAATCATACCCTTAGTATCGAGGTGTGACAGGATATTTGTAGGGTAGTTATTGCTCTCAAAATTCAAGATTATGCAAACTTTCATACTTAATCAACAAGTGTAAAGCACTAGCAAGACACTTGATAGATACCGAGAAAGACAAACAAAAAAATAATTGGGATAAAAATAAGGTAGGAATTGTGCCAAGATGAAATTTCAAATTGCCAATAAAAAGGAAGAATATAAAGATAAGATAGAAATGATATCACTAAACAAAGCTGAAAATAGAGAAGAGAAGCTTTACAAAGATAGTTTGTCCTGGTTTAGCTCTATTCACATAAGCCTACATCTAGCTCTGAAGGCACTCTTTAGATTTCTCACTATTCACAAATATTTAATCAGGCTCTTGGTCACCTCATTACAATATAGACTTGTTATGGAGTCTGGAACTCTTCCCTTAACAAAGGTGATTATAAATTCCCTTAAGCTCCTTGAGCTTAAGTTCCTTTATTTTAAGTCGTGAAAACATGGATTAATAAAGTAAGTTTAAGAATGAACTATTCTTATTAAATATCTCTCTCTAATAGTAAATTTACAATCAATCAGGCTCATAAATAAGGAATGTAATAGCATAGCATAAAAAAAGCAATGTAATAGTAGTAAGTTGTTAGAATTGAATGCATGCATTTAGTTCAATTATTCTCTATCCATTCACTTCATAAATGAGTCCTATTTATAATTAATTTTTGAAATAAATCCGTTAGACTCATAAATTAGCTATTAGAGACTTCATCTTTATTTCTTATGAGTTTCCTATTGTTCAAAACAATAAAACAATGCTTTTCGGAGGGTTTGTGTGCCTTTGGCACCTTAAGAAAAGTAATGGCTATATGCATTAAATGCTCTAACAAAAGGTAAAAGAGAGTAATACTGGTAGAGCAAATACATACAAGTAGGAAGAATCAGTGCTTTAAAACAAGATCGAACTAGATGGTCGACTGGCTCGACCGTTGATTGCTCAACAAAACGGCTTGATTCAACCATTTGGACCACTTGGGCATTTGGACCAAGTTAACTCGAGTAGTTTTAAGAGAACTGACTTTAACCCCAAAACAGGAGCGGGTCAAAATAGGTCAACCCTAGTCAAGGTCTCAAAAGAAAAAAGAGTAAAGGTGTATTTTTGCCCCAGATGTTTTTTCCTAGAAGCATCCAGTACTTTAACATTTTTTATGTAGCATTTTTTCCCTTGATGTAATTAATTTGATGCACATGTTACCCTGAGGTTAAATCCATACTAACTTTGTTAAAAATTTCCTGTGGGCCTCATTTTATGTGATAGGTTTTCATCTCCCTCCGACGATGATTCTTCTATTGCTGCCTCAGTCTTCAGTGTTATCGTCTCTCTCTAGCACTGGAAGCATTGATACGACACCCTTGTCACCTACTTCCTCTTCTCTTTGTCATCGCTCCCCCACTTCTAATGAAGCTCGAAGCTCAGCAGCATCCATCATCACCATTTACCTCAAAGTTCGTGCCTCTATATGTTCACCATTGCCATCCTTAAAGCTCAACATCTTCATCTCCTTCTCTCTTCATAGCTATCAACCTTGAAGTTCATCCTCTCTATTGTTGGCGACACTCTCCCTCTTCCTTGGCCTCCTACAATGATTTTGCTAACCAAAAACACCTATAGTGATTTTTCAAATTTTCAAGACCACCTGTTCAAGCTTTTTGACTTCTTCCCAAACCATGAGGTAATTGTGATGACTTGGGATAGTTATGTTGCAAACGTTTGAAGTGAAGATTGGTGAGGAGGACGAGTTGTGTGGTCGACATTGAGAGTGATGATGGTGACAATTGCAAATGTTCAAAGGTCATAGCAACGCGTTTTGCTCTCTATTGGCAACAAAAGCTAGTCCACACCATTCATATTGATGCCTTTCTAGTGTCAATCATGACCTTGTCAGTTATTCTATGGATGATGCCTTTTAAAGTACACAATATGACCCTTGACTAGTCTTTTTTTCTAAGAACAAAAGCAGGAGAGAACAGAGATGTCAGCATTATCGATCCTTAACCCGTCTCCTTCATCTCCCTCTCTCTTCATAGTCGTCCCCTTCATGTAGTAGGTCCTCCTCTTTCACCTCCACTTTATCGACCACATAGGATCAAAAACCACCATAAGCGACGCATGCATGCATGATGTTGGAGAAAGAAAGGAGGAGAGAAAGAAGAGAGAAGGTTGGTGAGAGAGGAAAGAGATTAACTTTAAGAGGAATTTTTTTGACCAGTTGACTATATAGTGTAGAGAAAGAGGAAGAGCTTAGTCTAACTTAACATTTTCGATCAAAATGTAGTCTAACTCAGTAATTCAGAGTCAATGTGTGAGGAGTTAATTTTAGGGTAGTGAATGCTCTGACTTAATTATTTAAGGGTGAAAATATTACGTGAAAAATATTAGGGTACTAGGTGCTCATCGGAAAAAATATCAGGGGCAAAAATGCACATTTACCTAAGACAAACTTAGGCTTAGTCGCTCAGATTTATGATTTCTCTTCTTTAATCTCTAGTTCTCTTCTCTAATTTCTAATCTCTCCTCCACGGCCCGAGCTCAATCCTTGATCTCTCTTCCATCCTTTGCCTCCAACTCCAAAAATATAGCCTTTGGCGTCAAGATCAAAAGCTCAATCTCAATCACTTAGTTAATTTATGTTTATATTTAGAAAATGTCATCCAAACAATTCTACAATGCTGCATCCACATAATCGAGTGATTCTTATAATGTTGTGAACTTTGCAATGATATGTTAGCTTGTTGACATTTTTATACATTTTAGATTTGGGGTGTCATTGTTTGGGCAATTAGAACATATTATGCAATGGTGGTGTTACTTGATAGTTGATATATTATGATTTTTTTGAAAAATTAATATTTTATTTATATATTTGTGTATATAAATATTATTTTTTATTTAATTTTTATGTCACTGGTTCGATCGTTGGTCTAACTGGTTGAACCATGAAAACCACAACTCGTTGCTCTTTTTGGTTTGACGTCTGATTTAGGTTTCAAATCATTGGGAAGAATAATTCAAAGAATGAATAAGAGATAAATTTCACCTGTGATTGTGTTTAAAATTATTCTAGAATGATAAGAAGATGAACACAATACTTGAAATCATAAAAGGATAGCATTTAAGTGAACTTTGAGATGATATATTCAAGGAACAAAAAAAAGAGAGAGCTAAAATCTTTAAAGATATACAGGTAAGAAATGGCCTATACCTATGAATGTTTTAAGAATGATAATGAAGAGCTTCACACGGATAGGTGAGATATATGCTGGAATGACTTATCATAAAAGATGATGATTGAAGGAGACTTCTATCGGAATGATTAAAGACATTTGAGAATGAATTATATATTTGGGTAGAGCTCCAATATATTGACAGGAAAGTTATGAACATGGGAGGCAAAGAACAAAAGATGACCTTTAGGTAGGAAATCACACCTTTGGGTGGGAAATGGTCATACCGTTAGGAGTAATTTCTACTAATATGTCCACGAGCAATTTTAGCCCAAAAGTTTTAAACTAAATTAGCTCACGTTAAAGTCAATTCAAGGACCAAAAAATAATTGAAATAAATATCTATAAATAAGGAAAAGGAAAGTCAAAGATTTAAACATGTAGATCTTATTTCATTAAATATTTCAATGACAATTATTTGTAAAAAAACAACTTCTCTATTTTGTATAATCAAAATTAGGATTCAACAAGTCATAGAATGCATTTTAAGGGTTGAGACACGCACGCGTCCTTACTCAGACAAGCATGCATTCGACTATGAACACCAAATGCATTTCAAGTGTTTTACAATAAATTGCTAGAACTTACAAGTCTATGACATGTTCTAAATGGAAGTTTCTTACCATGCAAGATATGAAATTTCTGTCAACATTGTTTTTCACAAATAATTCTAAGAGAAGATAAAATAATAAACATATATAAACTAAGTCTTCTCTTGCTCTTTATGCTCTTGATATTTTGTCTCTTTATAATATAACGATTTATCAGTACAAGTAATAAATATTTTTTTTAATTTTGTAATTATCAAAACACATGGTGCTATACCTTCTTTTGCTTGTTTATAGCATTTATAAGTTATGTGAAATATGAATATAATGCTTTATGTAACACCTAAAATTTTAAATGGGGATTAATTAGATTAATTAAAGGGTTAAATTAATTAATCTAAGTCCTAATTGGATCAATGAGAGTAATTGGATGGTCTTTTGGGTCAATTAAATCTTATATGAAGCTTATAAGGGGACTAGAAAGGCATTTGGGTCGTTTTGGGCCTAAATCAATGGGCTTAATTTAAGGTCCTCGGACTGTATCATTCACTGCGATGAACAATGTTGTGCGTAGCGGTGGAAAGAAATACAAACCAACTCCGAATGGGAGGAATTTTGAGCTAGGGCTTGAGTTTGGTGATGGTTGGAGGCTATTTAGGGCTATCAAAACTTTAGGTAAGCTTTCTTTTTTCTTTTCCTTCCCTTTTATGTGTTTTTCTCTTATTGTTTGGGCTTGGGGAATTTTTGTTCTAATCTTAGGCAAGTTTCTATTCACTCTAATGGCATCAATAGAGATTAATGAGGGTTATTTAAGGTTATTATTCTTGAATTTTTGTTAATAGCAATAGTTAAAGTCATTAATGATGGATTTAGAGTAAATCCTTATGCTAATTAATTAAGTTTAAGCTAATAAGAGGAGCTCATGATGGTTATTAAGCTAAATAGAAGTTAAATAAGTTCATGGAAGTGATTTTTGGGATTTTTTAGCTTAATTTGCTTAATGAGGGTTTAAGGCCTTAATTGTGATTAAGGTTAATTAATGACAATTAGTCATTAATGATGTCTATTAATGATTAATTGTAAACTAATTGCTTTAGAGCTCTTTAGGCTTGTTAGGAAACTCTTTTGAAATTCGAAGTTCACTCTTGGGATGGTAATCTAAAGGTAGAGGTAAGCAGGAGTTAAATTCTTATAAATAATTGTTGTATGCAATTATGAGTTGTATGTTATTGATTGTGATGAATATGATCATGTGGATATGTAAGCATGTTGGTAATGATTGGTATGAATTATGCGATTTGCAGTCACGAGCTTGTTTGATGATGAAATGGAATGATTGAATTGATTGGAGTTGTATGGTTTTACCATGTTAAAGGGAATGATGACATGATTGAAGAAATTTCAATGTGACTATAAAGTATGATGTGATGATGGTATTGTGACTATTATAATTTTAATGAGCATAAATATGGGTATGTGAATTAAGGAGCATGTGTATAACATCATAAGTTTTCCATTTATGAATTTCTAGTGTTTCTAAGGATAATTTGATCAATTTGAATAAATTATTGATTAATGAGGCTTATGGGAGACTAATATGGTTTTTGAATTCTTGGACAGCCTTAGGAGAAGGCTCGGTCGATGTTTGAGCGGGCCATGGCACGGAAGGGAGTTTAAATTTTTGTGAGACTTTTTGTGTTATGTGTCAAGCCGAGCGTGTCAATGTGTCATGACATACATGCAAAAATTAGCACTTATCAGACACGAAAACAAATCGAAAACAGAAGAAAGAAAGAGAGATAATGAGAGAGTGATGGAGAAGAGCTTGTGTTCTGCTAGGGCACGATCCTTAGGTCATGTTGGGAGCATTTGGAGCTTGAATCACCATTGGGTAAGTTCTACATTCTCTCACCTTCTCCATTTGTGCGAAATTTCTGACTTAAGTTGTAGTGTGGGGCTTGATCTCGATTCCCTTTGGTTTAGACCAAACCCATTAGTTTATGTAAGGTCTTAGGGAGTTAAATTAAGTCTCTAACCCTAAGTTTATGAGTGTATTGGGATATAATGATTAAAAATTTTATGATGAGTTTTATGACGATTAAAAATTTTTGTTGAGGGTTTGGACGAACCCTAGACATAATTTGGAGGTTTTGAGACAATGTGGGGTATTGGTTAGTGATTTTGGTGTATTGGGATGTTTAATAAGATGGTTAGTGTTTGGAAATGGTTGATGTGGTTAGAAAAGAAATTTGAGTATTTTAGGTACTTAGAACCTTGTGAATTCGGGGTTATTCGAAGTGATAATTGACGATTGTCACTTGATTGTGTATATTAAGTATTGCTCGAGCTATCTCTTACATATAAAACATGTGGAGCTAACGTTGAGTCACGGTAAACCTGTTGTGTGACAAAAGGTTGAGGTAACGAAATAATTTACACTATTTGATTATATTGCGTAATTGTTTGCAAGTAGATATGTTAAATTTATTACTTGAAATTTGATAATCTTGCATATTGCAAAATGTGGTTTTGCGCATGAAAAACTATTTGTGAACGATGAGAATGATGAAAGTTTTATATGGACTAGTTGAGAAATTTGAAATGTATATGTGTTGTATATGATGAGTGTGAGCATAATCATATGAGGGGATGGGAGTTTACTCGTAGGAAGGAATAGTAGAAGTCCATATGACATGTATCTCCTTAATGTCTAGTGAGGCATGGTGTTGGAGATTTTTTCTTTAGTATTCATGCAGGATACGGCATTGGAGAGTGACACTCCTTAGCATCAGTGATGCAGTGTTAGAGTAACAACATCCCAATTCATATGCGATAGGGGGAGATCATAGTCCAAAAGTGAAATAGGACACCTTTGGCCAGGTGATCCTATCATCGAAGGTGAGCTCGAATCATTATAGATGTGCATTAGGTTCAAGAGCCTATGGTTTTAATCAGGGTGATATGGAGGCTTAGATGATAGAATGATCATGCTAGTGGGAAATGATTTGTGTTGAAGAAAAAGAGGATGTTATAATATGTAAAAGTATATTTTGGTGTTTTAATAACTTTATTCCTTGATGGTTGTATATGTTAATAGTAGTGAATTATTCTGTTATTGAGATGTTTATCTCACCCCGTGGCTATATTTTACAAGTGAAGGCTTCAGTAAGGGTAAAGGGAAGGAAGGGACGGTTGAAGAGTGATGAGCGTAATTGTATAGCTCTTCCCTTTTCTCTTTTTGGGTATTGTAATGAATATTATCAATATGTTATATATATATTTATATATATAATGTCAACTTAAAAACATGATATTATTTTGGAATATTAATTGTTTGAATTTGTGATAAGTGTGTATCTTGTTTCAAGATTGATGTTGTGGATTAAGTTTGTGTATTTGATCAAGTTATAATTACAAGTGAGATATTTGAAATGATCTATATGTCAAAATAATCAAATTGACATGTGTGTCACATTTTATCCACCTCGTTGTGTTATTGTCAAATGGGGGGTTTGATGGTCATTTTGAGTGTGATTACTTATTTGTGTGATGTGAATCAATTGTCATGTTGTGTGTGATTCATTTGAGGTGGTCAAAGTGTCTCTAGGGCTAATAGCATTTGGCATTGTGAGTTGGACACCTTTGTATGTGTTTTGAGGTAAAACAAACTATTTTGGGTTTAGGTGTTCATTTTTTTAATGGATGATTATTTGAATGTGAGATTGATGCCATTAGCTAGAGGGCTTGAAGAGCTTCATATGAATACTTGAATCGTTCAAATTGGACGTCGGATGGTGAAACGGCGTGCTCCAAAAGTTTAGAGAGCTGTCATGACAGAATTAGACGTCAAATGGCGAAACGGCGCGCTCCAAAAGTTTGGAGAGCTGTCATGACAACAATCTGTTGTCATGACAGTAGGTGGACGCCGCGGCGCATGGTAGTTGCGCTGTGGAGCAAGAGGCCTTCGTGGGACGGGTTAGGTTTTTGAAAAATGACTGGTTTTAGCTTGTTTTTGAAGTGGTTTGATTTTCATGATTTCGTATTTGTTCTTAATTGATTTTTAATTATGGTTTGAGTTTAAACAATAAATTTTTAAAAAAGCTTTTCTTAAAATCTCACTATTTTAAATTAATTATTTTTTAAATCCTTGGGTTTTGATAACTTTTATTTAAAATGTTATTTAATCTTGATTATCATAATAGTGTGTAAGAGTGTTGTTCTTGTAAAGTCAAGGACAACATTACAACATGCATGAGAATGTGGGTATGTGCTTAAGTGAATGCTTGGTATTATGATTAGCATGAATATATGACTTATATGATCTAACTTTTTAGTTTGTGTAATTGAATTCTTACTATTGCCAACATTAAGGATTCTACTTGTTATATATATACATGAATATATGACTTATATGATCTAGCTTTTTTTTTAGTTTGTGTAATTAAATTCTTATTATTGCCAACATTAGGGATTGTACTTGTTATATATTTAAATATATATATATATATATATTACATTGCATGTGCCTATGATGTGACTTAAATATTATTGCTTGAACCCTTATTTGCCTTTTGAATTGGGTCAAGTGATGTATGTGGGTTCATGTTTTTGGTTTGGTCAAATTGAGAGGATTTTCATTTACTTCCAGCTTTAGTAACCTTTTAGTTGATGGTAAGCCTTGGGAGAGGAGACTTGAATGTCTACAGCTATGAATCCAAGTAAATTGTTAAGTACGTTTAGTTAAGTATGACAAAGTTTATATGGATAACGGCTTAAGATGGGAGACACTTGATTTTGGTGCTTTTAGCATTAGTGCTTGTTTGGCGCCAAATGTTTTAGGATCGTCATTTGGTATTGGATTTGGATGAAACTAGAGCTATAAGTTAGATTTCCTACTTATTTGCATGTGGGCATTTGGATCACCTTAATTGGAGGTCCAATAATTAACGAGAAGACTTGAAAGTTTAAATTAAGGATTGTCACAGTTATGATGTACACATGGTTATGTCACGATGGATATGGCTATTGGTCATAGTGGAGTTGTCTCTACACCATAAGTTGCAATGGGTGCACACTTCGTAGTGACATATATGCATTTTTGGTTGGTTATGGTGGAAGGTCTTTTCAACCATAATGGATTGCTACTTTTGGGAAATTAGCTACAGTGATTGTGTTTTAGGCCATGACGAATGCAACAAAATTTTAAAATGTCCGTCTTGCATTTTTTTTATCCTATTTTCAATTGCTCAATTTGGATTCCTATATTTCTGCAATCTTTTCTACTTTGATTTTAAGTGTTACTACTTTGTTAGTTTTCCATGTAAGCTTGAGATCCCTTTCTTTGAAAAGAATTTTGAGAACTTTGATTTATTTAATTGTAGCCATAGTTGATCCTTAATAGTAAAAGATGAATTGATTAATTAATTGAGGTTATAATTGATTAATGATGGAGGTCATTATACTTTATCTATAAAAATGATGTTTTATGTTTTAGAAATTATGTAAAATGGGTGTAAGATTTGTTTTGGTTATGAGAAATTGATTTATTAAGTTCAATGAGAATTATGATGTTGATATAGGTTTGAAATAATAGCAAGTATTATTTAAGGAGCATGGAAACTTTTGTGGCATAATCATAACTGAATTTGGGTAGGAGCTCACCTTATGGGGGAAAAGTGAATTATAAGACCACGTGGCATTGTCAACTCTTGGGTGGCTTCGATATTGCATTATTACCTTGTTCATGATCTCTAACATAAGAATGGTGTGATTCTGACATAGCCATGTTTACCTCTCCTATGTTGGGGACTGGTATGGAATTTGAAAGTAAGGGAGCTAATGGGTCGAGACTAAGTATGGTGGCCTTTAATTGGGTCATCCTTCAAAAATTAGTGAGCTTAGACTAATCCAGTCACATAGATTGGTCCTATTATTACTTGTAGCTTAAGAATTCAATCAAAAGAAATAAGGAGGTTATAAGGTGGGATTGTCATTGATCATGCATGTAAATATATATTAATATTTTATTAGGAATTATTAGGAATCATGGATCTTATTGGAATTAATTTGCATACTTTGCATGCTCTTGAACACTCTTGCTTGCATATGATTGAGCACTAGTTATTGAGACATTGTCTCACTGCTATGGTTTAGCATTTTATAAGCGAAAAATTTGATAAGAGCAAGGGGAAGTATTCGAAAGCATAGAACTAGTTATATAGTAACTTATTGTCTCTTATATTTATATGTGTAGATGAATATTAATTATTGTCAACTAGGGTATTTTTGCATAGTACTTGCGTTATGGATCTAATAGTATTGTTTTGTTGTATTTCTAGCCATGTTGGGGAAATGCACTGTGACTTTTGGGATAAGCTAAAAATACTTGTGCAAGTGCGAATGAATGTTTAATGATGATTTATGGTGGATGTTTTGGCATATAGTTATTATTATTAAATTTCATATATAATTGTGTTGGAAAGGAAAGTCAATAGGTCAATTTGAGTTATATGATGATTTGAATGTGTATGATGTGTTGAATAGATGTCCTAAGGTCTATTGAGTGTGGTTTGCGGCCCATTAACAGCTAATGACTTTTGGTAATGGTATTGAACACTTGGATTGTTTGGAAATGTGAAAAAGTAGTGAAATATGATCTTGGGTATCTAATTTTAACATATAATATTATTTTGGAATGAAACTAAAGTTTTTAGTTAGACTATAAAATAAGTTTCGTGTAGGCACTTGAATCATTTCAATTGAATATTGGATGAAAAAGTTGTGCACTGTAGAAGTTCTCTCTTGAGTGTTGTCATGATAGGGGAAAAAAATTGTCATGAAATTCTAGACAATGTGCCCTGGTGCATGGAGCCTTAGTCGAGACATATGGTACATAAATGAGGGGAGTCTCTATAGTATTCTCTTTGTGTAATTCTCTATAGCAAATGGGTCAACTGAGGCATTTTCCTTCTATTTTGATTTTTAATGAAGTTTTCCAATCTAAAATGATTACCCATGCTTCCAAATGTGCTTCTAACTCTAATTTCAAGTTGTTTAAGTTAAATTGAGCTTGATTTGGTTTATAGTTCAGGGATCTTAATTTTTGTTATAGTTTACTAATTAAATTGTATTTTGAAACTTTATGCCATATTAGTGTTTTAGAAATAGTAGTTCAATCTTTTATACTATGATAGACTCTTATTGGGTTAGTTTGACACTTTTATTATTATGGTAGACTCTTTTTTACCATGATATTTTACTTTATTGAGTGTTTAACTTTATAAATCTATCTTTAAGCTTTTCTACTATGAGAAGAATGGACTTTGTGAGACTATGAAGTGGATATTCCAATGGGGTCCAAAACCAATATGAACCCAAGAAGATTTGAACAATTAAAAAAGCTTAATTTCTATTTTTGAAGATATGCTTGAGAACTACATGTGAAAAATAGTACTTGGATAGTGGTTATTCAAAACACATGACTAGTGATAGCTCCAAGTTCATCAATATCATGTAAAGTAAATGAGGAAGAGTCACATTTGGTAATGATACTTGGAAAAGGTAAAGTTACTAAGAACTAAGTATTGAAAATGTTTCATTAGTTGAAGGTTTAAAATGAACAACCCATATCTGAAATAATGTTTTGCAAGGAGAAAAGGTATATTGGACATTGTTAACAAATTCCGCTTAGTAAATGGACAAGTAAGCATTAATGAAATTACAAATTGACTTAAGTTCTTGACAAGTAAAAAGCTTGCTATCTGAAGTGACAATAGAACTTCAACAAATTGACAAGTGAATTTACTAAAATAATAAGTTCAGTTTAGCTTTTGACTAGTAGACATCAGGTTATAAAGGTACTCATGCATATTAAACCCTCTTGACAAGTTTATTTTAGTCATTGATAAGTAAACATAAAAAAATAACAAACTAAATTGAACTTTTAACAAGTACAAGATTAGGAAATTGAAAATTAAATTAATAACATAGATAATTTTTTGCATTATATAACTAAAAAGCAATTGTGGCTTGGTGAATTCATATCCTTTTAGTAAAATAAGGAGTCATTAGTTCAAGCTCTCCTTAACCACCTTGAGAAATTAATTCGTCACCAAAGCTCCGGCGATCAATAGCCACCATCAATGATCTTGTAGCTAGTGATGGGGCTCTAGTGATAGTTTGCCAATTATGGTGGTAGAGGGTGAGATAAGGAAAATTTGCTTTCATTTCTCATGTAAACGTATTTATAATTTGATCTTTCCATATTGCAATGTAATTTTATATTGTATTGGTCCTTTCTAGTAAATATATTCTCTCAGAGGTACTTAAATGCAATTTTAAATATGCTCTCTCAGAGGTCTTTAAATGCAATTTTTCCTTCTTTTTATTCTAAGTAGTTAAAAGCAAGGTATTAAAAATCAAATTAATCATTAAACTGGTCAAGATATTGGTTCAAAAATTAGTGATTTATTCGTGATGGAATCAAGATCAACTTAGCCATGATTAAAATAATATAATATAATTTAAATATATAAAAATATTCTAGTATATCATGAAAAGAGTGATATATAAATAAAAAAGTTATTAGTTCTTAATTAAATGGAACATTCATATATAAACCACACATAATTCAACAAGAGAAAGTTATTAAAGTACAAATATGACATACCACTATTTTCTTTATTTTCTTAATGCAGAACAATGTTGTTTTAGGCTTAACAAAAGGAGGAAAAAAAATACAAGATCCAACTCAACCGATTGTCGTCCAAAACTATTGGCCAAATTAGTTAGAAGACTAATTTATCAATTCATTTGTTAAAATCAGCCAACTTAGGTTGAATTTTAATACCATGGTTAGAAATGTTATTGGTTCAAACTTCCCTTAACCACTTTTTTAATCTATGTCATTTAGATAGAAATGTTCTATAAATAGAATTAGAGCAAAAATTGGGACTCATTTTGACAAACAAAGTTCATCTTTTATGTAAATGCATGCATTATATGGATCATAGTGCCCTTGAATGAAATCCTTTTATTTTAATTAAATTGCACAAAATAATGACATCAAAGAAAAGATTTACCAAGCTATTATGAGATCAATTATATATGGTAATAAATATTGAGCTGTAAAAAGACAAGAACATGAAATTAGAATAACAAAAATGAGAAGAATATGGAGATAGAATGCTCTGGTTCCTTCGAGAGTTGTCTTAAAGGAGAACCACCACCTTATCTTGGTGAAGACCGCAATACCAAGAAGGTAAAGATACAAAGCGAGCATGAGGAAACTATAAGGTTGTGGCCATAAAAGACGATTACTCTCTCCCTTCTAACGATGAGACTCGCGTCTCTGCTACCATCCCACCTAAAATGGTCCTTGAGACACAGGAAGCTACTAAAGTAGTAATATTGAAAAACCTTAGCCAGTAAGCTCCCACTACTCCTGTTCTATCCTTTAAGGATAAGCTACTTAACAAGGGAAATAGTGACGAGGAAGAAGATATTAAATTAGAAATAGGGGATGTTACCATTGGCCTCAATGAAGGTATTCCAATGGTTACCTTCTCAACTAAAGTTCTTAAAGTTCTGAATAAAAAAATGGGTCACGCTTTGGTGATAAAGCTCCTTGGAAGGAAAATAGGTTTCAGGAAACTTTGTACTTAGCTCCAAAACATGTGGAGACTCTCAGGGCAGTTCCAACTCAATGATTTAGATGAAGAATGCTTCCTAGTTAAATTTAAGGAGGAAGAGGATTTCAAGAAAGTGCTAACTAATAGACCTTGGGTCATATTTGGTCATTATCTTACTATGCAACCATGGACACCCTTTTTCAAGCCACAAGATCATGTTGTTAACCAGGACATAGGTTGGGTTTATCTTCTAGGACTGGCAACTAGATACTACCACAAGAGCATTATTCACTCTATTAGAAATGTATTCATTGATGTGCTAAAAGTTGATTACAATACTGATTCAGGAGACAGGAGGAAGTTTGCTTGACTTGCAGTCCCTATTGATCTTACTAAGCCACTCATTTCTAATATTCAAGTTGATGGAGAAACCATATACATGGAATATGAGAGCCTACCTACAATATGCTTCCATTATGGAAGATACAGCCACCGTGAAGAGCATTGCCCTGAAAAGACACAAGCAATGACTACAACTACAACAGAATAATCACAGCAACCACCTGAATTCATTACTCACCAACCACCTTCTGATGACCGTAAAAAGGTAAAGTATGTCTCATAGATGTGGGTCCTCCCACGGTTTACATGTAGGTATGATAGAGGTGGGAGGAAGGAGGATGCTGCGCTATGCAAGGGTATTGGAACAAGCATGAGGTATGAAATCCTTAACATGGCAGAGGAATTGGAGGAACCACGACAAGCAGTGTATGATGCTATCAAATCTGTACCTTATGGCAATTCTACTAACTTGTGACAGCCAGAGAAGGAAAAATTCTATAAAAAAAAAAGGATTGAGGCAGAAAACAAATAAAAAGGAGGCCACAAGCAATGACTGTATTTTTAATTCTCGCCTATATAGCCACACATGCAAGCACAACTCTAGATAAGAGCAACAACCAAGTGGTCGTTATTCATGATGACAGGATGCCTAATAAACCTCTGGCATTAGGCCAACCCTCTCATCCTAAGGCCTATTCCACCTTTTCAAATGACTCTCCTAGATAGCCCAAACCACTAAATCCTTAAGAGGAATGCAGAGGCATCAATCTCTCATCTAGACTTTGACTCTAACATGCCAAGGAGAAACCCAGAGACCAAGCACTAGGTCTATCTATTAGATTGATGAAAGTAATAGAAAGAAGTCATCAGGAAAACACAGTCACAATAGGGAATGATGATGTCATTGCCATGCTTGTAAAGGGAGTAAACTTTAGCTCATCTTATAAGCAATAATTTACTTTATGTTTTTTTATGTTAGTTTTCTTTTGGAATTGTCAAGGAGCCTTAGAAAAAATGTTTCCTTCTATTATGAAATCATTAATTTCTCATTATAAACCTAAAATATGTGTTCTTGTAAAACCCAAGATTTTAGGCATCAAAGCTGATCAAGTAATCAAGCATATTGGTCTTCAACATTCTTACAGAGTTAAAGCTTCAAGGTTCTCTAGTGGTATTCGGATCTTGTGGATAGATAGTGTAGAAGTATCAGTTATTACTAATCACTTTTGGTTTGTTCACATGAAGGTGGTCTTCCTTTTTTATCACAAGCAATTTTTCTTTTCTGCCGTTTATGGCAACCCTTAAAATTGCCTTCATAAATTACTCTGGAATGACCTGAGTGAAATAGCCCTAACTAATGATCATCTGTAGCTCCTTGCAGGGGACTTCAATGCAACTGTCACTAGCAAAGAACGCTTAGGAGGTTCTAGCTAACTTATCTCTAGTTGTGAGTTCTTTAGAGGGTTTATTGAGCAAAATGGACTCATTGACTTGGGCTCTAATGGACTGAAGTATACATGGAGATGGGGAACTCTTATGGTTTGATTAGACTGAGCCCTTAGTAACTCAACATGGTTCAATTCCTTTTCTTCCAACAAGGAAGACCATCTTCCAAAAGTCCTTTCAGATTATCGGCCCATCTTAGTTTGTCTCAATTCTCATGAAAGGCCAAGGGCTTCAAACAGGCCGTTCAAGTTCTTAGCATTGTGGCTTTGCCATCCTGACTTTAAAGGCTTGGCTCAATGTTGTTGGATCCCAAATAGTTTAATTGTAGAAAATATTAATACTTTTGTGAGGGAGGCTGAAACCTGGAATGGAGAAGTTTTTGGGCTTATTGGGCAAAACAAATGCAAGCTTCTTTCAAGAATTAAGGGCATTCAATAGAAACTTAAAACCTCCACTCCCTCTGACTTCCTTATCGACCTTGAATCCTACTTAAGAGATGAGTATGAAAATACTTGCTTCTAAGAAGAATTACTTTGGCTCCAAAAATCTTCGACAAATTGGTTTCACCTGGGAGATTGTAATACTTCCTATTTTCCCACTAAAGCTTTAATTCACAGGAAAAAGAATCACATTGCTCAAATTAGATCTGAACATGGTGATTGGATCACTGATGATTCTTAACTCTCTGAAATGGTCCGTGGTTATTTTGCAAATCTTTATTCCCTTAAAGATAGGAACTTTATGCCATATGGAGTTTCAAGTAGGTTCCCTAAAATCTCTGATTCTTCCCTTACTGCATTGGGTAGAATGGTCTCTATCGATGAGGTGAAAAAAGCTTTATTTAAAATGAAACCACTTAAAGCCCCTGGTGCTGATGAGTTACATGCTTTGTTCTTTTAGAGCCTATGGGACCAAGTTGGTTAGAGCTTATTTAGGCTTGTTTTTTATTTTTGGCTTGGATGTCCTCTTGACCCATCTCTTAATGAAACTCTTGTTGTTTTAATTCCTAAAGTTAGCAAGCCTCAATACTTAAAGGAATTTCAGCCCATTAGTCTTTGTTCTGTTGCTTACAAGGTTGTTACCAAGGTGGTTGGTAATTGCATAAGTATAGTCGTGCCTGATATTATTGCACCTTACCACTCTAGCTTTATTCAAAATAGAAGTATTATAGACAATATTATAATTACTTAGGAGATGATGCATTTTATGAGGAAGAAGTCAAGAAAGACTGGTTCGATGGCAATTAAAGTTGACCTTGAAAAAGCCTTTGACAAGTTGCATTGGGATTTCATAGAGGACACTCTAAAGGATGTGGGATTTCATACTCCTATGATCAATCTTATTATGACCTGTATTACTACTTCTACTATGCAAATTTTATAGAATGGTAAACCCTCAACAAGATTTTCACCTATAAGGGGTATTCGACAAGGAGATCTATTATATCTTTACCTCTTTATTTTATGCATGGAGCAGCTCTCTCATGCCATTATTGATGAAGTCATTAAGAAGACATGGCGCACCATCAAAATGGGAAGGAGGGGTATCCCTCTCTCACATCTCTTTTTTACTGATGATCTCGTCCTGTTCAGGGATACTTCCACAGCACAAATTGAAGTTATTTAAAGAATTCTGCACCAATTTTGTGCTTCCTTAGGTTAGGTTATAAGCCAATCTAAGACAAAGATTTACTTTTCCAAGAATGTCACTGTTACCAAACACAATTCCATCTGCACTCAATTGGGATATTAGTATATTGAGTCATTGGGACGTTACCTTGGTGTTCCTCTTATCACTGGAATCTAGAACTTATAACTATATTCTAGAAAGACTCCAGTAAAAACTTGCAGGTTGGAAAAGCTAAGCTCTCTCTTTGGCATGCCGTCTGACTTTAGCCAAATCTGTGCTTTGCTCAATTCCTTTATATACAATGCAAAGTGCCCTATTACTTGTTTCTTGCTGCAAGGCTATTGAGAAGATAATTCAAAAATTTATTTGGGGCCACACAGAGGATCGTTAGGGTATTAGTTTGGTCAAATGGGATGAGATGTGTCAACCATTAGCATATGGAGGTGCTGGATTATTAAACCTTCAAACCCAAAACAAGGCTTTTATGGCTAAGCTTACTTACAAGATTGTGTCAGAGCTCAATCTATTATGGGTACGTGTCCTCAAAAGTAAGTATGGACTTTGTGGAAATATGCCACATATTGTTAATAAATGTAACTCTTCCTCTTTTTAGAGAAACATTGCTTCAATTTGGCAAGATACCATTTTCCATATTAAATGGAAGCTTGGCAATGGACGAGACACCAAATTTTGGTCTGACTTTTGGGTTGGTGACTCTGGCCCTTTAAAGTTCCTTTCCTTCATTAATATTCTGGCTAGAGATCTCACAAGGCCAATCTCTAACTTCATGGATGATACTGGACAGTGGAAATGGCACCTTTTTAGACATCTATTACCATAGAACACTCTTAATAAGATTGCTTCTGTTTCTATTAATACTCAAGGAATAGAAGCTCCATCTTGCTTCTGGAATTTGACTTCAAATGGCCAATTTACTATTAAATCCTTTTATAATTTCTATCAGTCACTAGATTGGCACGACACAAATGTCAAGTGATTGAACATATGGAAACTTCCTATGGCCCAAAGAGTTAAAACCTTCATGTGGTTATTGATTAAAGGAAAATTGTCAACCAACATTGAACGCTACAGAAGAAAGATAACACTTGATCAGGAATGCTCACTTTGCCACTCTTCAGCTGAATCAATTGATCATATCTTCAAGGAATGCTCTCTTGCTACTAATGTTTGGCGAAAGGTATTGATGCAGGATATGCACGCTGACTTCTATAGCAAGAGTCTCCAACAATGGCTATTACAAACCCTACAATACTCCCATATTGACATCTGGAAAATTGAAATATGCATATAATGTTGGAAATTATGGGAGGCCAGAAATTGACATATCTTTGCTAATGAATCTTTCACTACAAAAGGAATTAAATCATGTTCGGTACATCCTCAATTTTAAATTTAGATTAATTAAGCTTAAATAGATTAGTAAAGTGTATCTTTGAGGTATGTGGCCAGAGAGGCCTAATGGGCGTGTTGATCTCGATTTCAGTTCTAAACGCAGGTTCGAAGGAGAATCGGGTCACTCGGGAATATAAGAGGAAGAAATTCTAAAGGGAGTAATTCTGTGCCACGCGCTGCAGCATGGGGTTGGTCCGCCGTGACGCATGCATGCCAACACGCCTGGAAGAAGCTCTCTGTGCCATGCGCCGCGGTACATTGTGCATCCGCCACGGTGCTGGCCAGAATTTTGCATTATTAAGTCACGAATCTGAAGTGAAAAAGAGGAGTAAACAAAAGAGAATGAGAGAGTGGCAAAAAAAGTTGAGCTAGGGCTTGAAGAAACTGACTATTGAGAGTAATTTGGAGCTCATAAACACCCAAGGTAAGCTTCCTTGCTTAAATCTTCCTCTTTCATTTTCTTAATGGTAGAGGTTAGAGTTTGATTTCTAAAGGTGATTTTCGGTCCACAGAGATAATGGGTCCGAACCTATTGACTTAAATAGAGTTAATGGGGATAGATTGAGCTAAGTAAACTTGATATTTATGATTTTATGATGATTGGTGGTTGGAAGACATTAAATGTCTAAAATTCCCATAAATCTGGTGATTGGAAATAATGTGACTTCATTAATGCCCATTTAAGAGCTCAATGTTATTAATGAGAGATAAAGGAAGCTAAGAAGCCTTATGGGTACTTCTACATGAGTTTAGAATAAAGCTTGAGTATTAAGAAATGATGAAATGTTAGTGGCAAATAGCTCAAAATGAATATTGATGTTTTGCATGGTAAATGCTTGTAGTGTAATTACTATTGGCACCATTCAAGCTTCTTAGAAGCTTCAGGAGTGAATAGTTGAGGGGTGAAACCTTTGACCTTTCAAAGGTTTGAGATA